AAAATAGTATAATAGCGAGCACGCAGATTTTGATATTTTCCTTCAAAGTTTTGGACATTTTAAGCGACCGTCAAGGGTCATAATGTCTTAGAATTTAGTCTTATTTCCTTAATTTTATATGTTAAGTTTATACTCTGATCAACTGATAGCTTAATTATAATGGATATTCAATAATGAATATTTATCAGGTCGCCTGTCTTATAAGCAAAAAAAAAATAAATTGGTACCACATAATAACAAATCTTTAGAGCAAATCCGGCCATCTTAAGTTGTATTTCCCCTAGCACGGACGAGAACCTTTGGCAGCATTGTTAAGCAGTGGCGATAACGATATATCAATGTACGTTTTCGGAGGCTTTAATTCTTCATTTGGAGCAGTAGTGTTCAGTTCTGAGAGCTTTAAACAATAACCTAAGCCCGGCTTTAAGACATTCTCCCCGAACAATTCGTACGGCGAACAAATCGATATTTGTTGGAACAAAGTAAATCCGCTTACGAGGATAAAGGAGCAATACAAATAAGATCTACGAAACTGGGCAAGACGCATTCGCTTCGTTTGAACGACGCGGTAAACTAGCCATCCTTCAATACGGGGTGGTCGCAAAAATGATTGCCAGTTACTTAGATTATTTCGTAAAACATAAAGAGGATTCATAATCACAATTAAGAATTTTATACTTATTAACCAAAATAATTTTTGCGGCTTTCTTTTATGACGCGTCAGAGTTTTCACTTCAACTAACTTTCTAACTTCTAAAACACTGATGTATAAAACTTTTATTTTCGCCTTTCTTTAAAATCTCTAATATGCATTTTCATCCAAAAGCTGCCGAAACTGTTCTAGAGACGGTATAGCCTATCTACTGATGTGCAGTCATCGATTTAAAACAAAAATCGAGAAACAAATAATCCTTCTTCTGTAACACTATTTACAGATCTTCTGAATTCCTTCTTTTTGTTGATAAATAGAATTTCCTGACGTGTTCAAACTGGCTCGTATTCTACTTTGTGCCTGCTTATATACTGTTTGAGAGGGTCGTGCTAAAGAAGGAGATAAGCATGAACTCAACCAGAGTTACTGAACGCAGAAATAAAACATCTTCTCTCTAATAATTTCTACATGCTGTCCACCAAAGATAATAAATGTGCGAAAGCAACCCCACACTTGTCACCGTGGTGTTTCCTAACATTCAAAAGATCAAGCAAGGAATGCTTTTGAGAAACATGAAAAATATCAACCAGACTAAGAGAATATAAATGCCAATAGAGGAACACGTTATTTAGCAACCAGGGACCCATACTGGCATTCGCAGTTGATATAAATATAGTGGGTAAAATCTGTTCATAGATATAAGAAAGTAACTAACTGATACGAATTAAGGAAAGACCCGGGCAAGCTGTAAGAATGAAATATGGCCGAACAGGTCCGTACTTTGCTAAGAATTTAATTATTTGGGTTTTGCTAGGGAAGATACTAAACAATATTTATTTATTTATGTATGTGTTTATGTTTAAATCTAAAATAAAATTACAAATTATTTTTATTACCTACTTAAATTACTTAAAATTGTTCACACATATATCAGTATCACTATCGCTATCATCGCCTTAAAACTGTATGCCCTAGATTTTTTGTATAATTATCATAGACGTATTCCTTTTGTAGGTTCAAGCTTTGTAGAACCTCAATTATTTGCTTTTTGGTATAATCTTCGTGAAAATTAATGTCATTATTATACATGTAGTTTTGGATTTTGTGTCACATGAGGAAGGGGTTTTAGTCAACTGTCTACTGTGATAACTTGCATTGTGCATTACAATTACGCTGTTTGGAGGAATGTTTGGAACTAGTTTGTTTTTAAACCAACTTTCAAATAAATCAGCGCTGGTGTCTTCATGGTAATCCGGAGAAGAAGAGCCAGCATACAAAAAACGTGTCGAACCAGGTTTCATTCAAGTAAATAATTGGCCTCTGTTGTTTTCTGGAAATCCTAATTTTTTCTGGATATTCCAGTCGCCATTTACGAATTCTAAAAGATTCAATTAAAACTTGCCTTTTGTCAATTCTTTTAAATCTAAAACCCATGTGTTGAATACACTTCCATAAGGTAGTTCTGCCACATTTAACACCGGTTTCATCTTTTTCAAGCCTCCGAATTAAGATATCTAATGTAGGCACGCTTTGTTCCTCGTATAACTGGTAAATTTTACCCCGTATTATATCTTGATCACTTTCATCTACACTCAAGAAAATGTCAGCATCGCTTCTTTATTTCCTCACTGAAATGGGATTATTCACAATTTTCCATACAGTTGATGTTGGAATTTGCGTCAATGTGGCCGTTTCTTCTAAAGAGATTCAAATAAACATTGTTTATAACTTGTTATCACTTCACATAACCAAGGCAATCAATAATAGAATACATAGTGCCAATCGCTGCTGTTTTGCTCTTTAAAGTGTAATGAAATCCAAAAACCATATCACCAAACACGAAGAACAACCTGAGCCATACAATTATATGACCGATCATGTAGGGCGAAGAACGCTAAGGAATATATGTACATTGGAAGAACAGCTGAGAGACAGTAACAGGCTACTGGTAACTACAGAGCAACACGGATTGTCCAAAATTTATGGATGAAGAAGAAGCAAATAAAGGTAGCGACAGGTCAGTTTTTTTGACGACGCATTTGATAGTGGAAAATGAGTTTAATAATTGAATTGAATATAGAGGCTTACCATGTATCCACAGAAGTGTATAAAAATTACTTTACAAAAGCAGTCGGGAATGCAGACAAAAGTCTAAACAGATATTTTCGTCGATAGCCACTGACAGTACGGGTATTACTCTTTGTAGCGTCTACAAAATATTGGAAAAAGCTGACTGTAAGAATTTTTGAAGCACACAAGTTAAATTGGTCTACTTTTCAACATGTTGAAGAATTGTTAGACGAAAACTGTCCGAAACGCAACGAAAATCACATCGAATGTATTTGTTTCGATTGTTATCAAGTTCCAATCTTCGTAATTCCGGAGATAAACTGTATCGGACATTAAATATTTTGCAAAATTACATAATTTTCGAAAAATGAGTTGATCAATTTATATTTAAAGCAGCATATTTAGTTTTATTATGAAGTCAAGCTTTCGCCCATGAATTAAGACACTAAACGTCTTATCAAGGAAGAACATACAATCACAAAAACAAAGTTGAGTAGTACTCACGATAATGTGTCAAAGTATTCTCTAAAGTGTGAGGGGGCATTTCAAAAATATTTTCTATACAATGAATCTGTGACCTAGGTTTATATCAGTTGAAATGCTTCGTGATCACTTCAATTGACTAGGATTAGCTAAACAATGCGTACTGTCTTGAAGTGTATTTGGTTACTTAATCCTAGCCAGTTGCTGCGATCACACTGCGTTTCAACTGGTATTAAGCTGTCACAGTTTCCTTGTATTAGTATTTCAAATCCATTTGAACTGCCTACTCACTGTTTAGAAGATATTTTAGCACAATAACGTTAATATTATTCAACTTTGTTTTTGTGATTAATGTTCTACCTCGATAACACTTTTAGTTTCCTGATCAAGCCTACATTCAAGCTTGACCTCATAATAGAACTCAAAGGAACTTAGCGTTACTACCATTATTTCCTTCTTCTTCTTCTTCTTCTTCTAAATAAGTTGAGAGCAATCCCTTAGTTATTACGTTGCTCTATATAGGAAGAATTATATAATCACTCAGACTTTATCAAAGTAATAAAATCACAAAAACTAAGATGGGCTGATCATGTTCAAATACAAGAAAATCAACGTCTAATTGGACAAGTGTGGGAAGAGGACCGTATGGGAAGGCCGAAAGTGAGTGAGTGAGACAACTTCACATCAGACTTAAGGATTCTAGAGCTACAGAAAGAGAGAGAGAGAGAGATAGTATTCTTCTACACTATATGGTTCTATTTCTACGAGTAAATTAAAAATTGTTTTCTTTAACATTTTTAAATCTCTAATCGTTTTTAAGTTGTTCGGCAAACTATTATAACACCTAGTACACTGATTTATGCGGTGTATGTTCGTTTTGTGGCCAGAGTCCTATAAAAAGCGAAAATTGCTTCATTTCCCATTAGCGTTTAATAAGATTCGTTAACGAACTCGGTATTATGATCGAATAAATAAAAAAGGAGAGCACTGGCCGCCTCTTGGGTAGAATCCGGTCCTAATTGGGTTCTTAAAGTATATATGCCGAGGCGGATTAGCAGCTTCTAAAACGACGGCGTTAAAAGAAAATTGTGAATTTGATTGTCGGCCTACCTCAATGTCTCTGTTAGGATTTTGAAATCAATGACATAAAAAAGTCAACATTAAGAAACATTTATGAATGGGACCCATCCGTATGGATATTGGACATTTTAAGTCTCAATAGATCTCTGGCCGAAAAAAATATGTTGTGCTGTGTTGTGTTGATGGATTTCACTCATGAAACACTAAAACATAAAATTGATATTTGACCTTTTTAATTTAATTGATCGTTATTTCATAAGGAGTGCTTATAATTATCGCTTGTGCAGGTGCAGAATGAGGTGGCTAAAGTTTCAAACACTCCAAAATACTGTTGAGAGTTAACTTTGCAAATCAAGCACATGCAAAATGTGCATTAGACTTGCAAATCGAATATTTCTAAGAATTAACAAAAACAAATACGAAAAAGATTTTTCTTACTGTTTAAAAACTATTCAAGCTCGTTTTGAGAAACAGCAAAGCATATTACAGTAATAATGGCAGTGTAATTAGAAGATTTCACTAGCAAAAAAGTTTTGCCTTTTTTTACATAGATATTTGTGTTATCATAAATGTTCTGTAAAATCGATCATAATTTTCTTTTAGCCGAACATCACGTTATAACGTTAGAAATATCACTGCTTCCACGTTATATTCGAATTTCTTGCCTCTTACGACTACGACAGGGTTAATAAAATAACTGTGGATTTTGTTCCAGTATCAACAACAACAAAGGATGACGTGAAACCAGGCAGCACGTCATTGGAACAGGTGAAAGCAAAGCGACAAAAACCGAAACCGACATCACCAAATCGACAGGGTCCCCAACAGTGTCAGGTAATTACGACCAAGTCAGTAAAAGTATTTTTTTTACCAAAATGGGCAGAACATCTCACTGAGATTCTTCATATCCCAAAAAATCACAGACCAAATCAATGCGTGGCAACCTCGCTGCAGACATTAAAAAAAAGTGTGCAAATGTTCACGAAAATACAAAAGTAACTCTCTAATTTTCTAACTGTTTAATTCAGTTGAATATATTATAAAGTTTCTCTTTTTCAAAAGAAGCATTCCATGTATGAAATAAGTTATTGAAAAAGTTAGTAATTTATTAAAAAAATATTAATTTACAGATATGTGCAGAATATTTATGATTTACTTCGTTTAATATTCATTATAAATGTCCGCCCCCTTCCTAACTGTTTTCCTTCACGTGTGATGTTTACGGATAGAAGGGGAAAAAGTACCAGACCAGACGTGTTAACTAATTAGTATTTATTTTATACACGGGAGTGAAAAAAGTTTATTAATGACGTGTTAAGAAGTAAATAGAAAATAAAAAGTAGTATGTACAATTTACTCATTCCTAATTATGGAAATGTGATGATGACAATTTGCTTTTTTAGTGGGCTGTGAAATTTGACAAATGACAATTGTCAATTGACAATAATATAACTATTTGACGAAATGCTATACGCATCTTTCATGTGATTTGATGCTTCTTAAAATATTTCAAATCTTAAAAAGTCAGAGTTTAAATTTATCTAAACTTCGATTTTTGTTACTGTGACCGTGTTTATTTCATTAAAAATATCTTATTCGACTGCTGAAGTATGCGAAACGTTAGTTGTTTTCTCATTTAAAGGTATACCTAATTTTCACAGACTCATAAATTTCGACAAAATAAAAATGGCCAAAGTGTAAACGAAAGGGGAAATTCCTTTTAGGGATTTTTTAAAATTTTTTCGAGAATTTTATTATAATTTAATATAAAAATTTCATACAGTTATGTCGTAGAACCCGTCCGAGTTTGAAAAAAAGTGTTAACAAGTGCGCATCTAAATAAAGGTTAATTTTAAATTAGAGTAACATATTATATTAATTGAATTGTATTTTGTAATTCTTATGATGAAATTAATAGAAAATTTCTCAAAAAAAAAAGAAAACATAAAAACACTAGGCTTATTATAACCTTATTAGTTATTTATCTTCCAATTATTTATTATATAATTATTATTTCTTTTACATAGCATATATATATATATATATATATATATATATATATATATATATATATATATATATATATATATATATATATATATATATATATATATATATATATATATATATATATATATATATATATATATATATACATATATATATATATATATATATATATATATATATATATATATATATATATATATATATATATATATATATATATTTTCTTAATATTAACAAATATACTTTTTACATACCTATAAAAATCAAAAAAAAAAAAACTTTAAATAATAATATATACAATACAAGTCATATAGAATTATTCAATTAAATTATTATGCATTGCATTTTTTTTTTTAATTTGAAAGGAAATCTAAAGGTTTTGGTTGGAAACTTTTCAAATTTATGCAAAAAATAGGGTATAGAGGAATAATTAGGAGGATGATAATGAGCCTATAAAAAAATAATAAAAAATTCAATTTAAAGGTGATCTAAATATTTGAAAAATCGAAATTTTTGGATTTTTAGAAATTTTATTGGGAATTTTTGACCCCCCCCCCCCCCTTGAAAAGAATCCAAACAAAATATGCACTATTGGTCGCCAGTGAATTATCAAAATTGGGGTGTCAACATCAGGTGTGGTATTTTTTGTGTCCTAATTTTAGAACCATTTTCCTTTAATGGTAAATTTGAACTTTGAGAAAACGTTTCTTTACAAACGAGAAGAGATATGTGGGTACAACATTGCTGAATTTTTTGAACTAGAAGTATCCAAACCGTTGGATAGCAAGGGACAGTTTCTTTCCGTGGCCTGCTAGATCTCCAGACCTTACTGTCCTGGAGCTTTGGGGTAGAATAAAAAATATTATTTGTCAAACTCGCTGTACTACCCTTGACCCTATCCTAAACGCTATAGCCAACCTTTTAAAAACTGAAATTAGTACCATTGAGATGCAAACTGGAAGTTGAAGGAAATGTTATACAGCAGGAAAGGAAATTGAAGTATTTAAGCATAGAAATCTCAGGATATGGTGATATTGAGGCGGAGGTGAGAGGCCGAGCAACAAAGGCAAGAAGAATAACAGGATGCCTCAATGACACGATATGGCGAAATAAAAATATCAAAGTGGAAACTAAATCAGAAAAGCTGGAAAAACACTGTTAGACAGAGAGAGAAATGAGAGCATAAAAAGAGCATGCAAGGTGGAAAGTGTGAATGAATCGGTACACAGTAGAAAGAAAGAATGGAACGAATATATCAGCAGAAGAAGTATTAAATAGATGACGCAGGTTAAATTCCTTCCTTATATAACTACCTTTGTTGCGTTTTCTGGTTCGTGTTTAGTTTCCATAATGTTCGGATAGACTTATTAATTTATAAACGTTGCGTTAGGCTGGGATAAAGCTATTGAGATGCGGTTTTCACGGGGTTGTTGGGCTCTTGTTTAGTGATCTCATATCTTTGCTTTTGTTCAGAATTTATTTTTGCCCCTACGTCAGAAACGCCATCTGCTGGCACAATGCTCAATCGCAATCATCTCGCTCATAGCGCTTTAACAGTCTAGGAAAGTCCCTTTTTAACAACTCCAAGTTTGTTAAAATTCATTTTTGGAGTTATCTACATTTATTTTCCCACCACTTTCTTTTAGGCGATAAAGTAAAAAGTATCTAACAAAAGATACTTAAAATAGTGATACAATTCGAAGGCTAAACCCGAACAGAAGTCTTGAAAGGGTTAAATTACTTATTTTTAATTAATATTGAAGGTTACAAATATTTCATGCTTAGACTTTCAGGATTTATTATCTATCTTTCCCACCACAACATTAAGTAAATTAATAATTGCAAAAATTAAGACTTTTACTTATTTAGTAAAAAAACTAAAACGTTGAATTTGATAGATATTTCTATAATTTCTAGAGTATACTTCTTTATGATGTGGTATTCAATTCGAATATAACAAGTTGTTTAATTAGATATCTGAAAGAAGGAAAAAATAAAACTTATTGTTAAGACCCGGTTTCATTCAAAAATATTTAATTTTAACTTGGTGCCGTGTACCTAAAACTCCCCCAGGGTCGCTTTAATTTTCGGAACTTCTAAATCCGATATCTCTTCAAAAAAAAAAAAAAAGATACGCCTAAAAATCCACGTCGTAAAAACTTTACAACAGTTAATATAAGCAACGCAGCGCTGCGCAGAGAATATGTATTTATAATATTAGATATAAGCCGCATATAAGAGAGTTTGCAAACCATTCTGAAACTTTAATCCCCCCTAATTCGTTGTTGAACTTTGTTAACGCCGCGAAACGGTTATTTACATCATGCGAATGAAAATAAAACTGGCACCGTTGCGAAGCGCGACCCGAGTCCGAGAGTCCGGGAAATGCTGTTCCTGGAATCCTAAATTAATATTATCCGGTTTATGGACGGACAAAGGATGAATTGTAATATTAAGGTCCGGATTGAGCGTTGAACATTTCGACTGTACAGGACGTTTGAGTCAATTGACAAGAAAAATAACAATATTAATATAAATAAAAATAGCAACATGGCAAAACACCAACTTAGGCAAAAAGCTTTTCTTTAAATAACAGTAAAAAAGAGCATTGCACTAATTCTACAATAAACTAGTTTTTTTATTTTGTTTTAAATGAACTTAGCAAAAGCATCAATGATGAAGTTGTTCAACAATCTCAAGGCTCGAGTGAAATCAGAAAAATACTATAGTTGGCATGATGAAATATTGGGGAGTTCTGATATCTTTGATAGAAGTTAAAACCAATAAACTGGAGGAGAGAGTTGGACAGTTATATAGACCGTTCAAAATTTTATAAAACGTTTAGGTTAGGTTCAGATCATTAACAATGTAATAGTTATTGCAGATATTTATACCGGCTTTATTTGCTAGAGATCTCAGAAATACCCTGTGAGCAGTGTGATAAATGTGACATCTGTAATGCGGAGATCACACTACGGATGCATACTCAAGTGTAGATTTAACTAAGAAGCAATAAAGGGTTTTAAAACAGTAGGCTGAGAGAAGTATACTATAACGGGTAATAAAACCAAGACTTTTTACATCCAGAAGATTCCTCCTACGTCGGTTTTTGCTGAGTCGAACTTGCTGATGTTTCGCCAATCATCCTGTTGGCTTCTTCAGAGCTTGTCTGAAACTGGCCTCGTATTTTACTCTGTACCTGTACTCTGTATATATTGTTTGAGGGGGGCGGAGCTAAATGAGGGCCATAAACACCGTCTCGGATGACTGATTCCCACATTGGTTACAGGTAGAGACCTGAGTCGCGGTTAAGATTGTTAGGTTGTTTATAGATTTCTATAGGCTCTCGGATTTTTCGTTGGTAGAAGAACTGATTACATGCAAAAAACTAAAATTCTTGCAGATAATCAGTTCTTCTACCAACGAAAAATCTGAGAGTCTATAGAAATCTATAAACAACCTACCAATCTTAACCGCAACTCAGGTCTCTACCCTTACATTCAAAATATCACTGACCACATATCAAAAGTTCTAAACAATTATAACGTCAAAACCAGATTTACGACTTGTCCAAAAATCTCTCAACATTTTCGGTTCGTCAAAGATAAAATTCCATTTGAGATGCCAGGAGGAGTCCATGCATATGCGACAAAGAATACATTGGAGAGACCGGACATAAACAACCTAACAATCTTAACCGCAACTCAGGTCTCTACCTGTCACCAACATCGGAATCAGTCATCCGAGACGGTGTTTATGCCCCTCATTTAGCTCCGCCCCCCTCAGACAATATATAAGCAGGTACAGAGTAAAATACGAGCCAT